ATTGGAAAAGTGCTTGCACATCGATGTTTATTGCGGTGCTATTCACGATTGCTAAGACATGGAACCAACCCAAATGCCCCCGTACAGATGAATGGATTGAAAAACTGTGGCACATATACTCTATGGAATACTACTCAGTCATAAAAACCAACAAAACCCTGACTTTTGACAGAAAGTGGAAGAATATGGAAGATTTACTGCTGAGTGAGGTAACCCAGGATATAAAGGAGAGACACTGTATGTCCCTACTTAACATATACAGAATGTCTGCACTCTGTGACTGAAACTGATTGACTAACGGTTGTACAAACACAAGAGATGGGTGTGAATGTCAGATGAGGTGTGTGTGGAGGAGTGGGGCCTAACAAAGGACATTTGGAGAAGGGATATGGAGGTAGAGCATTGACGGGATGGGGAGGTGTGGTGTTATCGGTTGAAGATATTTTGACCAATGTTCACATATTGAAATGCTCACTTTGTAAGCTAAACAATGTGATTGAATGTATATACAAAAATAAATTTAAAAAATTATAAAAAAAAGCACTTCAGAAATAAACTGTTTAGTTCCCATGTATTTGTGCATTTTCAAAGGCTCTCTGTTGTTGATTTCAAGTTTAATTCCATTGTGGTCAGAAAAGATGCTGCATATAGTTTCTATACTTTAAAGTCTCATTTTGTGCCCTATGATGTGGTCAGTCTTTGAAAATGTCCCATGTAGGGACAGAAAAATGTGTCTTTTGTAGTTGTTAGGTAAAACATTCAACACATGTTTGTTAGGTCCATTTGCTTTATGGTATCAGTTGGCTTCTGTGTCTCTTTTTTGTCTAGATAACCAAGTCCAGTGGTGACAGTGGGCTGTTGAAATCCCCACAAATTATTTGTTGCAGTTTATCTCTCTCTCTCTCTTTATATTTAGCAGTCTTTGTTTAACCGTATTTGGGTACCTCATGTTGGTGTGTAAGTATTTATAACTGTTACATCTTCCTGGTGAAATAATCCATTTAATGTCCTTCCTTATATCTTTTTGCTGTTTCTATCCTGAAGTCTGTTTTGTCTGATAGCAATATTGTAACTCAAACTCTTTATTTTTGGTTTCTGTTTGCATAAAATGACTTTCTCCAGCCTTCCATTTTAAATCTATGTATGTCTTTATCAAAGAAGTGTGTTTCTTATGGAAGGCTCTTTAAAAAAAAAAATCAATCAGTCAATCTATGTCTTTCAATTGGGAAATTTAATCCATTAATGCTCAGTGTTATTATTGACATATGCAGACTTATCCTTGCCATTTTATGTTTTATTATTTATTTTTTGTCTCTCCTTCATTTTTCTAATGTGGTATTTCCTTAAGTATTTCTTGAAGAGTTGGTCTAGTGTTGGTGAATTCTTTTAAGCTTTTATTTTTTTTTAAATCTGGGAGTGATTATATTTCTCCTTCACATTTGAAGGACAGTCTTGCCAAGTATAGTGTTCTTGGCTGAAATTTTTTTCTTTCAGAATTTAGAATATGTCTTCTCATTCTTTCTTTGCCTGCAATGTTTCTGTCGAGAGGTCTGAGGTTAGTACGATGGAGTATCCTTTATAAGTAACTTGACATCTCTCTAGCTAGTTTTAGAATACTATCTTTGACTGACTTTTGTCAGTCTTGCAACAATGGGCCTTAAAGTAGATATTCTTATGTTGAACCTATTTTGTGTTCTTTGTATTTCCTGAATATAGAGGTCTCCATGTCTCTCTATATTTGGAAAGTTTTCAGATAGTATTTCATGAAAGAGATTTTATATGCCTTTACCTTCATCTTCTGGAATACCCATTATGTGAATATTTTGGCTGCCTCACAGTGTCTAAAATTATTTATATGTTGTCTTCATTTAAAAAAAATTTTTTGAGATGTTTTTGCTATGCGCTCACCAGACAGACAGAGAGAGACAGAGAGACAGAAAGTGAGAAATCACCCCCCAGGGGGGATGGCCATGCTGCAATCCCTTCTCCTCCATTCTCTCGGGATCTTGGGCACACACGCACAAGCACCCGGTGTGAGTTTAAGCTGCAGGGTCCAGGACTCGAACTGCGGTCGACTACATGGGAGTCCAGCAACATAGCCATTACACTAACTGCTGGTCCCTATATGCTGTCTTCATTTTTAACTGTTATTTTTTCATTTTGTTTGGCAGCTTGGACTAAGTTGGATTCAGATAGTCAAGCTCAGAGATTCTTCTGCATGGTCTAATTTGCTGTTAAAACTTTTGAGAGATATTTTAATTTCCTCTATTATAATCTTCATCTCCAGAAGTTCTATTTTAGGGTCTCTTTATAGAGCTCCTCCTTCATGTCATGGAATGATTTTCTCATCTCTTGGAAATTGACTGTTTTCTTTCGCACCTCAGTTAGTTTTGTTTTGATCAATATTCTGAATTCCTTTTCTGATGTTTCTCTGATTTCCTATTATTTTATCTATTGCTGGTGAGGAGTTATTATGTCCCTTGGGAGAGAGACAGATCCTTGTTTTTCATATTTCTTGTGTCTCTATGTTGAATTTTAGGCTTCTGGTGGAATATTCACTTCTTCCTAGCTTTTGGAGTAGATTCTGTAATGCCAGTGGGCAGTACAGCCCTGAGTCCCAGATGTGTCCTTTGGAGCCAGTTGTGACCTTCAGGTCAGAGAAGGGCTTGCATAGCCTGTGTATAAGACCTGAAGGTGGAGCAGCTCTTCAGACCCATGTGGAGTCCTTGCAGAGTGGTCCAGGAAGGCCTGGAGGCAAGCTTATCTGTGAGACCCAGCACATAGGTCTTGAGTGGCCTATGCATATCACTTGAGAGTGGCACCTTTCTGAAGGCTTGAATGTGGTCCTGGGAAGGTGATGAAGAGGAGGGGAGGCAGGGCAGTCCTTAGGACCTGGGCATAGCCCTGGCAAGGCATTCTGGGAGGGGCCAGAGGCAAATCTGTCTGTGAGTCACAAGAAACAGGCCCTGCATGACCTGTGTGGGATACCCAGAGTCAAAGTGACCCTCTGTGCCTGTATGTGGCAAACCTACCTGTGGGGCCCTCATCAGAGTCTGCAATCTACGAAGTCTGGGGATTCAGGAAGGCTGATCGGATATGAGCAGACTCCCAACAGGAGTTAGGTGGCTAGACTACACTGCAGGACCAGAAGGTAGTATGTGGTGGTGCCCTGTCTTTGCCATTCTGATCCGGAGAGGGGGATCTCTGGTGCTCTACTCTCTGCCAAGTGTCTCTCCCCTTTCCTTTACTCACACTTACAGTTCAGGGAGGTCCAGAAGAGATGTGCTGTGGGTGTAATTGGTTGAGGCGGGTAGCCACTGCCTAGGACTTGACCCTGAAGGGAGGGAGAGTGCAAGTCTGCCCCCTCTCAGACAGCAGGAAGAGCTCACATTCCTCAGTCTCTTGGGATAAGGAGCTCTCTTTTGTGTCCCCTGCTCCCACTAGGCTATAGAGTCTTGATTGTTAATGGAGCTCCACCCACCCATTGGCTTGGGAGATGGGGCAGTGCTCTTGTGGCTTGAGGTGGGGGGTGGGAAGGAAGGTCCAATGATTTGCTGAAGCTGTATGCTTGTACACTTCCCTAGCTCTGTGTTTTTTTCTAGCGCTGTGCCTTTATTGTCCTTTCATAGTTGGGGGGTTCTGGAATCAGCCATGGATCTGGAATTCAGAGTTTCAGAGGACAGTTCCTCTTGTCTTCTTTCCCAGAGTGGAGGTTGGAGAGAGCTTCTCTGGAGTCTCACTGGCTTCAGACTTTAGTTTTAAAACTTTCGAAAACTCTTTAGTTTTCCAAGTAGAAATGATGTGTTCCAGAAGTTTCTGCTGTCTTTCTCTTACACTTTGTTAGTTTTGCCTCACTCCTTGCTGGAAGCATAGGCATTTATTTAGTTTTGTTTGCTAGGGGATTATAAAACAGTTTTTGAAAAGGCTTATTTTATACCTACATACTATATGGAGAAACAAATGTTTTTATTAAATGTTTCCCTGACCCAAATAATTTTAATGTAATTAATGTTACTTATATCTTTCAGAAAATTATATCAGATGATCTGTAAATGACTTTAAATGCTATTTTAGTAATTTAAATAAAGTTGCTTTTGTGGTTTGTATTTTCTGTGTTATAAACTTAATGATTTGTAAACCTTTAACAAATTAATCTAAGTTTTGTTTTGTTTTTGTTTTTGTTTTTGTTTTTTTTGGTTTTTTTTTTTTTTTTTTTTTTTTTTTTTTTTTTTTTTTTTTTATTCACCAGAGAGATGCTGGGGTGAGTGTATCTAGTTGGTTGTCTTCCATACTGTTTAGTCTATTGGGGCGATGGAAAAGTCATGGCATATTATTCTGTTTTTCTACGCAAAAATGTGTAATGACTTTTCCGATGACCCAATATTATAGAAAATACTTTAATATTAAAAACTAGCTTTCAGAAACTGTCTTTTGTAAAAAAGTTTTAAATCATTTAACATTTCACTTAAGAGCATAATAGAAGGCCATTAATACATGAATGAGCCTTGGGCCTTGCCTATGTATCATTTCAGGGAGACCTGGGGGCCAGGTGTCAAGTTCTGGGAATCAGCAGCTGCAGGAAATGATTATGAAGAGAGAACCAAGATGAAGAGTCTCAAGCCTCTTACAAACAAGGACCAACAATGCCAGAATGGATGGACTGCATGACCTGGTTGTAATGGGACCCTTGGCTTTTGGACAGACCTGCCTACCATCATGTGGCTGTGTCATCTACCCATGATGTTCCAGTCCCTGTGGTCACAGAAGCACTATGTGGGCCATAGTTACATATTAAAAAATGAAAATAGGACAGAAAGCAATTTCATTAACAAAAATGATTAATTTCTGAATTCTTAGCCTTGGCATTTTGATGTTCTAAAATGAAGCTAAGAAACTTCATGACTCCATGTCATTGTGCTTCTGAGCTTAAAAACATACAAGAAGCTCAACCACTATGAAGAGATGGTGGGGGCATGCCACCATGCAGTCTACTCTGTCACCTGCATTCGATGAACCAGTGCCGGATCTGGTCTTGAAGGGTCTCCCTGATGTCCGCACCCTCTATCAGCTTCAGGTCATCCTTGATTGTAACCATTGCCTCCCTGTAGTCCTCTTCATGCCTTATCTGCACTTCACTCCGCAGATGGTTCACCTTCTCAGCCTGGATTATGGTAGCACTGACTTCATTAAAGAGCGGAGGTGGATCCTGCAAATATAAGCAAAATGGTTTGAGGTCATAGAAGCCACAGTACTGGTAAAAACAAAACAAAAACAAGCAGACAAACCTTAGAATCAATCAAGTATGTCAATATCTTCAATGATGTCTTACCGAAGGCACAGGAGAAAGACATCCGAACACAGAGACCTGGCAGGACTACAGGATGGAAAGCTTTCCCAAATCATCTTGGCCAGCAAGAGGACAAAGAATATGGACTTCAAAAGTACTTGACTTAAGAACTAGTGAAAAGCATTGCCGTTGTTCTGATTTGGAGAAAAATAGCACCAAAATCAACTCTGAAAACATCCATTTTACTGTTGCAGAGTTCTGAAGAAGGAAATTCTACAGAGATGACTCCAGAAATTTTGTTTGTTTGCCTTTAAGGGCACGTGTGCTCACCAGAGAGAGAGAGTGAGGCAAAGTGAGACATCACCTCCCCAAGGGGGATGGCCATGTCACAGTTTCTTCTAGTCTCCTCTTGAGATTTTGGGCACACATGCACATGTGAATTGCAAGTGACAGGGTCCAGGACTGGGCTGCACAGTCACGTGGGATACAGCACCGTGAACTCCGTGCCACCTGCCAGTCCCTGATATTACAACTTGTTGTCAGAATATTCTCCCTCAAAATCTGCCCATCAGCACGTCAACAAGTGTTTGCCTACTAGGCTCCCACCAAACACTCAGCACAGGCTCCGTATCTGCAGAAGGTTGTGGGAAGAGAAAACATTATGTCACTTCTTATTCTTCAGAATCTCTCATCTGAAGAAATGCAGTTGGCAGGTCAAGATTAGCACATGCCACCATAGGGAACAATGTCAGGCAATTTCTTTTCTTATTTATTTATTTATTTATTTATTTATATTATTATTCATATATTAAATCACTATAAATCATTTAGATTGTGAAGAGACTTTACCCAGCATGATATACACCTCAGTCCAGCCCAGTTAAGACTACCATACACATCCTCGTCAACAGATATTAGACCTTATCTGTGGCCCACAGTGTCTTACCTCTCCCTTTCACCCCCAGATTTCCTATGCTCTTCCCCTCTCACACTCTCTTTCCACTTTGTCACTAGTGTCCATTACAATTTTTAATATTTTATGTTCTCCAGTCTTTCAGTCTGTACCATAGAGTGCGGACCCACTTTCTTTCAAATTCCAGGGGCTTTTTTTTTTTTTTTTTTTTTTTTTTAATGGCTGAATACTGTTCCATGGACCTCTCATCGGAAACAATGCAAACAAGGAAAGAATGGGAAATATATTCAAAGTGTTAAATCAAAAACAATTTCAGCCAAGAATACTATACCTGGCAAGATTATCCTTCATATGGGAAAAAAAAAATAAAAACATTCTTGGATAAATAAAACCTGATAGAATTTGCCAACTCCAGACCAGCTCTTCAAGAAATTCTGAAAGGAGTACTATACCAAGAAACTAAAGAGAGACAGACAGCAATAAGAGGACAAAAAACAATCAGGTAATTTCTAAAGTGCTACATGTGGGTTTGGATGGAAAGAGGGAAAGGGACTTTAAGAAGGAGGACAAGGCTGGGACTTACTGGAATCACAGCTACAAAAACTGAAAGACAGTTCTCCTCTACAGAAAAACATGCTGCACACAACACGTCCAGAGTTTTAGCCCAGGTCATTTAGCAAACTGAGGACAAGTTCCAGGTGTGCAGGAGCCCACCCTCTAATGGTGCATGAGAGCCAAGTGATACATTATCTGGACTATTACAAGCTGATTTTTCAACACAGTCATTTAAAATACTAAATTAGGGGCAGGCAGGTGGCGTAATGCTTGAGGCACTGGACTCCCACATGGCCAAACTGTGGTTTCAGTCCCAGACCTGGAGGCTTGAAACTCACTCCAGGCATGGGCGCATGCATGTCCAAAAACCCTGAGAGGAGAATGGAGGAGAAGGGATTGTGGTATGGCCATCCCTAACCCCCTCCACCCCACCCAGAGGTGATTTCTCATTCTCTCTCTGTCTTTCTGGCAAATGCATGTGTGCTACAGAAAAAAAAAAAAATTTTTTTTTTTTGCTAAGTTATATAAGCTTAATTAAAGAAATTGTATTAGAGACAGAAGTCATGGATCCCCCGAGCTCACCACTTCCTGGTCACTGTACTGATTTTTACCATCATTTGCGCTCTTGAGGTTATGTCTGGTGTCTCTGCATGAAAATGCCGTGAAACCATGTGCTGTGTGTGCATCTTCCTGACTGTGCTCAGGTGGGCAGCTTGTAACCGACTATGATGGGAATATTCACACCGCGGAAATCAAATATCATTCATCAAGAGCTGATTATACTGTTTTGATTTGCTTGCCCAGACTTAAGAAAATGATAGGGAAAAGCTAATAATGCAGAGAAACACGAAAGTGCGCTTGTCACATGGGAACTGCACAAGACATGAGGAAGTATTCTCCCAGTGTTGAAAACTGTATTCCGATTCAGCAAAGAAGTGCCGTTTTTGAAAATGATGAACAAACGAAGTGCTCACATACATGGTGTCATTTCACTTTGCTCTTTTTCACTAACAGAAATGAAAACATCAACAGACAATTACATCGGAACAACGTTCATCGTCTACGGCAATCAGGCCAGCTGCAGACCGAGTGCCGTGCTATTTGATGGCTGCAAGGAGAGTCTCAAGGCCTCATCCACAACACTAGCAAGGTCTACAAGACTTTTCTGCAAAACTACAAATTTAAATCAACTCCTGCAAAATGATTATTTTACAGGTTCCATTCACATACTAACATTTCAAACAGATTAAATAGTGAAAGATAACAAGCGTGTACATGTAAACTCACACGCACACATGCACACACACAAGCTCTACCAAATATCTCTGAACCTCTGGAGGCAGAAGGGATTTCTAATGAGAAGCCATTAGAACACAGCCACGCACTGCCATGAAATCAAGAGACAAGAGGAAAGGAAGTCCCACACATAACTACATTTTTTTTTTTTTGGAGTTTTTTTGCCATAGGGCACATGCGCTCGCCAGAAAGACAGAGACAGAGAGAAAAAAAGTGAAAAATCACCCCCCAGGGGGGATGGCCACACCACAATCCCTTCTCCTCCATTCTCCTTTTGGGATCTTGGGCACGCATGCACGCATGCCTGGCTTGAGTTTAAGCCACTGGGTCCAGGACTCGAACCGCAGTTGACTACATAAGAGTCCAGTGATATAGCCATTATGTCATCTGCTGGCCCCCATATCATTACATTTTTAAAAATATATTAATTAGACAGCAAAGAAAAGAGCCAATTTTCTACATTTATTATAATGAGAACATACAACTTGTATGATAGGAACAAAAAAATACCTCTAAATTTACCTTAAAACTGAATCTAAAATAAGAATTATAGAATCATTTTAAAGAACATGGTTAGAAACAAATGATCTAAACCACCTGACTTACACAGGTGCTCAAAGGCATGGTTTTCTTTCTTTTGTTTAGAGAGATATTTTTTCTTGCTATAGGGTACATGTGCTTGCCAGAGAGACAGAGAATGACAGAGACAGAGGGGGGGTGGGCACGCCGCAATCCCTTCTCCTCCATTCTCCTTTTGGGATTTTGGACATGCATGTACATGCGCCCAGCATGAGTTTCAAGCTGCTGATCCGAGACTCAAACCACTGTGGCCATGTGGGAGCCCAACAATGTAACCATTATGCCGTCTGCTGGTCTCTGGCTTTCCTCTAGATTATGCATTTTGTGTTGAAGTTAAGAGCTAGGAATTTCCTTTATTTAATCATTTAAAAATCCAAATCTTATATCTTCCAGTTAATGTTTTTCATTTCTAGTATTTACATTGTTAATGCATGAAAAAGAACTTAATAATTCACAGAGACATAGCTGTTCTCTTCAATGGCTATTTTGAAGTTGATTGTTTTCATGAATATATTAAAACAGATCTCTGCAAAAAATGCCCTGCGTTTCTTTGCCTCTGATGAATGTGTAAAATTATTTTGGAATCTTGAATTAATGTTATATGATTCTCTAGCGTAACAATAGATCACAGGGGGTAGGGGGCAGCAGGTGGCGTGGTGGATAAGATACTTAACTCTCATATTGCTAACTGCAGTTTGAATCTTGGACTCGGTGACTTGAAACTCATGAAGGGCAAGTGTGTGTATTGCCCAAAATCCCAAGAGGAGACTGGAGAAGGGATTGCAACATGGCCATCCCCTCTGGGGAGTGATTTCTCACTTTCCCTCTCTCTCTCTCCTGTGAGTGGATGCACTCTATGGCAAAATTCTAAAATATACAAAAACCAAAAAACAAAAAAAACAACAATTGAAAAAAAAAGATCCACACAGTTTGGCTTTGCCCAGATAACACGTTTCCTATTGTTACTTGTGAATTTCCTTCATAGATGACAGTAGACAAACTATTTCAGCTGGGCCCCTTCCCCTTTCATCCCTAACAGTGCCCGGATGAGCAGATGACTGGCCTGCGACTGCAGCCATCAGTGGCTCTGTAAGAAGTGCTCAGGGAACTTCCTGATGCTTCCATGGTCCAGGAGTGAAACAGACAGCGCTCGCTCTCATCCAGTTTTCATATTAACCTCGCAGGCATGGCGCTCCATCTATTCGTTCCTTTGCAGTTTCTGCGCTGATGTTCACATCCATCTTTCGAGGTAGAAATGAGGACCTGACTGTCCCATTGAACAGATGAGGAAGTGAAGGTTCAGCGCTGACCGGCCCCCATCATTGTACCTCAATGAAGATGCTGACAGTCAGGTGTCCCGGTCCTTGCAGTTCCGTGTCCCCATTACACCATGCTGTGCTGTTAATATGTGTGTATCCATGCGTGGTTCTTGATATAGACTTTCTCTGACAAAAACACATTTGGGTCATTTGTAGTTTCTTTCCC